TTTGCTTGAGATTTATCTTACCATTTATTTTTCAAATAAATAAATAAATAACAAAACATATTTCATTAAAGACAAGAAACATTTATTTTACCATCTTAGGCTTCAACTGAGTAGTATTATCTCCATGTCCCAGCCTTCCATATTCTCCAAGACCCCATGTGTACAGTTCACCACTAGAGGTAATGGCAGCACTGTGGGAACTACCACAAGCAATATCACGGATACGTTTGGTTTTCAATGCTTCTATCAATCTGGGCTTATCACAGTTCCTGAAAGAAAGAAATAAAGGAAGCACTGCCTTTATTATCAAAGAGTTCCAAATCCAAAATATCATGTAAAGTTAACAATAATCTGAAGATAAAATGATACAACAATTGCATTCGATTCTAAGACATACTTTTCAGCAAAACTCTTAAACTTGCATAATTTTTAATGTACTTCAAAGTGTATGCTTTAAAAAAGTATTTTATTGTATACACTGCACAATTAAGAAACCCACAACACAAAGATGATCACTCAATCATCTGGTGTGCAATACCAAGTGAAAATTAATAACTCTGTCATAGGGCAAAGCTGAGTAATTTGTTAAAACTGTTTCTCTATCCTACAAAGAGGGAGCCAGACAGTGAGAATTTTAGAGATGTCGTTCCCTTTCCAATTCTCTGTTCATGAGAGAGAGAAATTAAAACTGGAATTTACTGTTAGGTTTCCACATTAATATTAAAAACATTTACTATTCACATCATTACAGTATTCTCTAAGATTAGGAAAGAGCTTCAACTAAACAATTTCCAATACTGACTATGTATCAGAGGTACTATTAATGTTTTTGTAAAATTACACACAACCTTTGGAAAATTTGTTCTCGTGAAATGCCCAAAGAGCTCCAAGACACCCTTTTAGTAAGTTATAGAAAATAGGTGAGGCAGTTAACATTAAAAAGTCACACACACACAGAAATCCCAAGGCAATTTAAGTTTTCTTCCTTATTGTCTTTCTGAGAACTAGATAGTCCTTTATTGAAAGATTCAAGAAATTTGCTTCTAGTTGAAAGGTTTGCAAAGAAAACTGTAAAGAAACAAGCTATAGAATACTTTGTTAGATTTGCATTAGGAACTGGCAGCACACAGAAACATGAAAAATATGGAATTACTAAAGGTTTTCTAAAAGCAGCTCAATAAACCTTAGCTTGCAATAGTACTGAAAAACTCAATGACCAAAAAGCAACCTGTATCATTTCATCAGTGACATATTAAAGGCTTTTATCCACTAAAAAAGTGTATTCCGAGTACTATATTAAAATTAAATTGCATGTTCAGGTACTTTGAAGTACCTGAAACAGTTCTAATTGCTGTAATATAAACTCTCATACGTTTATGGAATAAACATTTCAGGACAGATGCATATTTTTTATTCCCATTGTATTTACAATCCTGTTATTGTTAACAGCAGCAGTCAGCTGTGCTATAATATGCGAATTTACTCCTGTTCCGCCCTTACTGAAATACAAGTAAAATTCATATCCTTACATTCTACTGAAGTGTCCAAGTTTTCCATCATCTCCCTCACCCCAGGAAAATATTTTTCCGTCAACTGTTAATGCCATAGCATGCCGGCCACCTGAAAGCATAAATATAAGTTTAGGTTTTCAAAGGTGCAACAAAATCCCAGAAATCTAACACAGCTGCACTTCTAAAATTTAACCGTACAAGCCTTTCAAAACAACACACTTCACTTTGTTCTTAGGAGGTTTTAGGCTTTTTACCAATACTGAAGATTTAGGATACTTTATTTGAATCAGGCAGAAAAACTTTTCAGGAATAAAACAAATTTAGCTTCCAGCAAGCAAAACGCTAAGTATGGTCCAAATTTATACATATTTTAATGACAATGGAACCTTACATCTAGATTGTCTAATACAATAGACAGAAATTAATTCCTGTACTTATTATTAAATGTATATGTACAGACACACAGGGGCATCACAACAGCTAAGAACTTACAAAACAGCTTCCACTTCAGTTTTAGTATGTTATGCTCATCTACAGAAGAACGGCAAGAGTCGGTACCTGAGTGAACAGCCACCTTCTTTACAACGTAGTTACTGAGAGCTGTAATCTGTCGAGGAATAGGCACAGTTCCACTAGATATTCCTAAACCCAACCTTCCATTTGTGGCTTCTCCACAAGCATAGACTTTACCCTCTACAGTCACTAAGATGAAAAAAAGAGGTAGATACACCATTAAAGTTTTGTAATTGAAAATCTGTTTCTGCTTTTCAAAATGATCGTATATGTTTTAACCTTGAACCTTGCAAGTTATCTTACCTGCAAAAAGACTTTTGGATCCCCCAGCTACTTGCACAACATTCAAGGCAGAAAGGGTTTCCGAAAAAGAAGGAACCTTTATCTAGAGAAAGCAGGAAACAGAATTATATTAGATTTTAAAGACTGCTATTTCAAGGAAAAGAGTGATTCTTAAGCGATAACCCAACTATTCTGCACCTACAGTCTTTCATGAAACTCTCCAATTATTCAGAATTATTGTCTTTACATGAGTTAAAATACCAGTTAAAAAACACCAAGCAAAAGACAGAAACCAAGAAAAGGCAGTTAACAGTGAAACCACAATAACAAAATTCTAAGAAAAATTTGAAAGATATAAACAAGGATTTTTCCTTTTAATATCATTTTCTTGAGGAAACAGAGTGGTAAAAGAAAGGCATAAGAAAACAAACTTGTTAAAAGTGTTAACCAACATACTGAAATTCAGCATGCAAGAATACAGGAGAATAACTCAGTTTTTCTATAGCAAAATGCTTTAGGAATCTGAGATCAGCACAAGGAAAGAACATAAGCAACCTAGTTTCTCAGTCTTTGATCAAGTTGCATACATACATTAACAGAAAGCAATACTCCCTTTCAAGCATTTTAAAATGTGAAAAAAAAAACAAATCTGGCCCACCTCTATGTAAAAAAGGCACATTTTAATTTGTTTTTATGGAACTAAAGATAGTTTCTAACAGATTTCATCATTGAAGTACATGAGGAAAAAATTTTGTAGGATATTTCAAAGCCTAAAGCTGTTATTAAAATAACTATTCTGATTAATCAGCACATGCATACAATAATAACAGTACTTGTTAGACACCAAAGACAGAATTGCGTATGTTTGCAATACCATGATTTTTCCCCCCTTACAGATTTGATCTTTACAGAACTAGTTCATATTTATTGAGGTATTTGAATTTGAATAAATAAATAAACAAAAGCCCTCTCTTCTCTCAGATAATAATAGTTGGTGGCAACTGTATGCTGGCATACAGCAAATGGTAACATTTACTAGATGAAAAAAGCACTTTATCAAACAAAGCTGTAATTTTGTCTTCACTGTGCCTGGAAGCAGGAATTAACCAATACCTGTGCTTTAGCACTTAAGCCTTGATGATTTTTCAGCACAGATACAATATAGGATGGAGAATATAACTCTAATTTCCTCTTGTTTCTTGAAAGACATTCTACGGACTGGGCAATAGTACGCATTTTCTTTGCAACATAATACAGAAATGCTTTCTTAACATACTGTTCAGGTTAATGATATCTTAAATTGATTGAACATGTGCCGTATTTCCCTTGTTGCATCATACTAAAGAATTTTGCCTAAATACCTGCACGCAAAGCAGAAACTACCCTCAAATTACATTAAGCTGTAATCATATTACGCTAATTGTAAGATTTCAATTTCTTTTTTTTTTTCTGATTATTGAACCAGTTCCAATTACAGAGAATATGTGGTATTTTTTTCTATTAAATAAATTCCATGCATCCAGCAAACTCATGAGGTAAAGAGGCAAACTGGTTTGCTAATGGGTTTTGGAATGATCAGTTTACTGTCATCTGAAACAAATGGTTAATTTCCACCTAACAGCAGGCATCCACAACGTCCTAGTACAAAAAAGCCATCAAATCTACTCATGATAGATTTTGATACTGAATTTTAAAACTCCAATTAAATTTGGTTAACACTGAATTGCATGAGACTTAAGTTTTATCTTTAGCTACTTCCGCTTGATACTTAAACAACAAACATACCTTGGAACCTTTCAATCCTCCTAATTGATCTTTGTCATTTAGTCCCCAAACAAAAACTTTGGTTCTTATTGTAGCTGCCGATTCCAGCCCAGCTGCTTTCTTTCTAACAAGACTGAGAACATGGAGAAAAAACGAAGTCAGTTGAGCCACCTACTCATGCTATAGCACTTTATCTACTGATTTTCCACTGTTTCAGTGCCCAAATTACATCACCACAGCTAAACGGTGGCAGTGGCAAATAAAAACAAAACAAAAAAGCAGAATCTTTTTGTTCTGCAAAGCAGTTGTGTATGTGCAAGACCTGCCTCATTTTAACTATCACTAGATATATCAAGTTTTCAGTTAGTTTTACAATCCCAACTATGCTGGGGAACCAAGCATTATACAAAATACCTATTCTATGTAATAATCATAAGAAAGATGTTAAATAACAACAAATGACCTAACCACATTTCTGAAAAACTAAGATACTGAGTACTTTTCTACCACTCAATCCAATTGTTTAAGTTGCACTGCTTCCAAGTACTCTCCTGATCAGAGCATAAAGGCACTAAGGCTTTTTACAGGACTTTCCCCCTCCCTGTAATTACGTACCTCCCAGTGTTAGCTTTATCATCATCTTCTTCCTCATTATCAGAGGCAAGGAAAGGGACTGCAGCCAAATCTTCATCCTCTGCACGTATACGTCCCAGTATGCTGAGGCCGTGTATTTTGCAATCAATTCCAGAGCTCCTGCACTGTTTGATTGCAATCTCAATATATCTGTGGTACTAAGGAAAAAAATAAATAAAATAAACATTGTCATTGTTTGGATCCTACATAATTTCAGAAAACAAATGACAGACAATTTTTGCTTGGCTTTTTTTGTCATCTTTAAAAAAAAGTTATCTACTACTTAAAATATCCAGCTTTTCAGCTCTGTATGGTTTGTACTATGGTCTCACACATCTGAGAATGATCTCACTTCCAATCTTCTAAAAACATACTATGCACATGTCACAAGTTATGAGTTACTAATGATTATTAGATCTACTGTTTGTACTAGGCTTTACTACTCCTTAAAATTATTCCCAGATTTAAACAGTTATTCTCTTGCTTCTTAGGTATATTCATTTTTAAACAAAAAGCTACACTGTGTTTGCTATTAAGACTATTACAGAGTGGCACTGAGATTATGGCAGTATTTATCAGGATAGTTAACTTTAATCAACTGTCAAAAATACTGCTCATGAAGGGAAAAGTAAATTACAATAATTTCATAATCGTAAGGGTGCTTCTCCTCCATCTCTTGAAGCAAAACATTTTTATGCTGCACATAAGAATAATTCTTCTTACACCAACTTCACTTACCTCTGTACAATCACTGAGAAGAGGCACTGTGGTGTCTGTAGGATTTATATTGATTGTCTTTAGCTCTATAAGGTTATTTAAGGAATTTCCTCCTGGAAAGCAAAACACAGAAAGGAAAACTTTTTAAAATACAGAGTTTGTGTCATAAACAGACACTATGTATTTTAAATCAATGACTATGTTAATTGAAGTCAGACAAATGCCTACTGCAGGAGATGATTATTAGATTTCTCAGAAGTATGTTCACATACCTGAAACAACAACTAAAGAGGGCATGTAACTGCTGTCTGCAGGATCCACTATCATCTTTAATCGGTGAACAAGAACATCTGGAAAAATCTCCAAGCGAATCCAGTGCTGTAGAAAAGATAATACATTTCATTTTCAGATGGTTTTGTGAGGATCAGTCCATTGTTATCAAGAACATACATGTACCATTGAGAATGCTATAGAATACCTGCAATCCATGGGATGTAACTAAAGAACAATGATCTTGTCAAGTTCTGGCCTGTCTGAGCCCCCAGTACTAGAGAAACAGCTGCAGCAAATAACTGATTTCACTCAAGAACAATACCACAGACAAGACCGTTTTTACTGTTAACAGTTTCTACTACATTTCTATGTTACACATAGACAATGATCAATCATACTAACAAGCTAAGTTGCTTGATGTATTTAAAAAAAAAAAAAAAACACTAAGACAAAAACATGCCAGAGTAAACAAAAGGTACGGTTTGAGGTTACCTTTCCTTGCGAGCCAGAAGACTGCCAGCACTGCTCACTACCATCAATAAGACGAGAAGCCTGATTCACCGAAGACGAGACGTTCAAGTTTTTCACTATTCGGGACCAATCATCCAGCAACATTCCTCGCTGGCTACTGTGCCGTCTCTTCAGCTGTTTTCCGGAACGTCCACAAAACACTGGAGACTGACCTGTTCAGTTAAACGCAGTTATTAAGCATGTACCCCAAAGAAAATTGCTTTTATTAACCCCGTAAGTCATGTGAAAGGAAATATAGTGAGTCCTGAAGATACCTTTTACGTAGTTGCAAAGCAGATGCAGCTGGAAGCATGTCGCATAGATCTGATAACATTACTCCTGCTTATATGGCATAACTTTTATTTATATTCAAAAGAGCTTCAAGTACCCAGCATGTACCCCAAAGAAAATTGCTTTTTTTTAACCCCATAAGCCATGTGAAAGGAAATAGAGCAAGTCCTGAAGATACCTTTTACGCAGTTGCAAAGCAGATGCAGCACAGATGTGGTAACATTACTCCAGCTTATACGGCATATCTTTTAATTTATTTATATTTAAAAGAGCTTCAAGTACCTGACCCTATGAGTTCTCATAGCATCTCTCATGCCTGTCATTTGGGGTAGTTAAATTTCTCTTCCTATACTTATGTGAACAGAGTAGCTTAGCACATTTCTCTTCTTACACTTATGATTGATTCATACTAAAGAAACTAATAGTGATTTTTTATGTGTATTTTTTACTAACACGAATATCACTGGAGTTGAAGACATTAAAAGTAATTCCAAAAAAACATGCCTAAAACATTACAGGACCATGCACTCTTTAAAAGATAGCATTCTTGAAAGACTAAGATTCTTGACTGAACTTGAAAGGTTATTCCTTTTATAATACAAATCAAAATTTAGAATTGATATACATTCTAATACAGGTCCACAGAGTATTAATGTCATAAAACACAGCATATGAAAAAAACGTGCAACCCTCCAGGGAAATTCCTTGCAGGAGAACAGAAATAGCTAAGTTTCATCACTTAAATTCAGAAGTTAAGAATGTGGAGGCAAGTCACAGAATGTGATGTGGGATTTTTTTCAATAAAAATCCACTTCTACTTCCCTTTACTGAATTGTGTAGCTTCTAGAAAGCCTGGTTAGATAATACTCCTCTACCCTGCTCAACACAATTGACAGTATTTGGGATACACACTAGACTAGCTGCCCAACAGATTTCTTAAGGGGAAATCTTAATTGGCGAGAAAGTAAACTATTCTATACATAAAACGTATGAGCATAATTTCTAGGAGGGGAAAAGTTTTATTTGACTCTAAAACCAACTGGATTGGCCATCAATATTAAGAGGCCCAAAAGCCAGGATCACTTTGTAAATATTATCGTTGGATATATTTGTAAATATTATCATCAGATTTTTAAAT